TCACGACCGTCGACCCCGACTTCTTCCAGGCCACAGATCCCTGCAAATTTGAACAATGCTCCAGCTGCTCGCTCAAGTTCTCGTCCATCAACACCAACGCGTCGGGCTCCTGTGTCTTCAATATCCCCTGTGTCAACTTCAGGTGGACGTCCTATGTCAAGTGGGCGCACATCAGCACCATCATCCCGCCCTAGCTCCCCGGGTCCACGAGTTCGAGCCCCTGCTCAGCAGCCTGTTGTTCCTCCTGATTTTCCACTAGACACACCGCCGAATCTTCGAACCACTCTGCCTGAGAGACCGCTTTCTGCTGGAAGGTCCAGACCAGGTGCTGCCATCGGCGGAAGAGGAACCCAAGATAGTGCAGCAAGCAATGCCAATGTGCCGCGAAGGAATTCATCCCCAATTGTGACCAGAGGAAGAGTCTCGGAACCACCTGGAAGGGGTCGTATCTCTTCCAATGGCCATGCTGCTGATGTGCTCGAGTCTCGGAGGAGCACACATGGATCATCAGATTCAGGATCACGGAGAACTTTGAAGTCGTCTTCTTCTTCTTCTTCGACTTCTGCTGACAGCACCGGATTTGGAAGAACCATATCCAAGAAGTCTCTGGACATGGCTATCAGGCATATGGTATGCATCTACACAACACTTCTCCTGTTGTGATAAGTTAAGCATGTTTAAGTTACCCCGTGAAAGAACGTGCTAAGAGGGACATCTCTAGCTTAATTCTCTATCTCAAGAAGTTTGTGTTTGATCTAGAATTTGAATGGTGATTGTAGGACATAAGAAATGGAGCAGGAGGTTCTCGCCCACTAACAGGGACTACACTCTTTCCCCAAAGCATCCGCGGTGGCCCGGCCAAAACACAGAGCCAGAGCCAGACTGTTCGCTCTTCTACTGCTCTAGAGGCGGCGGCATTGGTCAATGGCAACGGCCACCACCTTCGCAATGGGGAGGTTGTGGAGAATGGGACTTACGCGACGGGGAGGCATATGGAGACGGGAAACCATCACCAAGGGAACGAAGGACGGCAATTCGGGAGATTGGGCGAAGGGGATGTATACGAGAGCTCGCGGTATGATGCAATGTTACTGAAAGAGGACGTTAAGAACATGAACTGGCTGCACAGCATTGACGACAAATTCGATCAAGGTTCCATCTTTGATCATGGCTTTGAGCCCCTGCCCGAACCTTTCGCTCCGCTATAACTACGCAAAAAAAATGCCAAGTTGGTGGGATTTCCGTTCTTTGTCTCTTTGAACGTTATGAATTTCTTCTTGGTGTTGTATTCTATTTTTTCTTTTTCCTTCTATTTTCAGGTGGGGTGATATACTGATATTTATTGATTTATCTAGTTCTTCCCTTCTGATTATTATTTTGACCAGATGGGGGGAGGATACGTATATGACGAGTTTAATAGCTTCTAAACCAGACTGTATTGCCCAACTTCTTAATGATGATTTGATGAGTACTACGAAACCAACGTTCTGTTCTGTTCGATTATGTGCTGTGAAATATGAGCAATACTTTTAAGTGTTTCTTTGTGTTCATTAGCCAATTTTTTCATATTATCCAAATTTATTAAAATGATATTAATTAGCCAAATCTTTTATAACACATCAAAATATTAGTTATTTTTATGTTATTGTTAATAATTTTGTAACTCTTTTCTTAGTTAAAATATTAAAATTTTGGAATGTTAATTTTCATATTCTTTTTCAAGTCAGTATCATGTCGTCAAGTCAAGATTACTAACAAATAAACTAGTTGAAAATTAATATTTGACTAATTATTAATATTTCGATAGATTTAGCTAATAAATTTTTTTTGAAAAAGATTAGGCTAATAAATAGTCTTTACCCTTGTGTTTTGTATGGGAAATGTCAACTTTATCGGAACTTCCAGAGATTATATCTAACAAGCGAACTATCAGCTCAATCCTCTCTAGCAATGAGGGAGAGTGAGCGAGCTATCATTTTGATGAGCGGGTTCCTGTAAATGTTGCTGAATAATGTATTTTGGTAAAAATTTAAGAGTAAAGAAACAAGGAAGCTGTTGGCTGTTGGTAGGGGTGAACAAACACACCCGCAAACCGACCCACCCGTCCAACCCGACCCAACCCACCCGTATTTATCGCTAAAACGAAGGTTTTGGGTTGGGTGACGATTTTCTTTTGTGCAACCCGCCTCTTTTGGGTTGGGTTTGGATTTTGGATTACACAACCCGTAAAACCCGACCCAACCCGTGTTCCAACTATTAGTATGAGTTCGTATCTAAAAAATATTTATGTCGTATATAGCCATACTTATGTGAAAATTAAGATATTTCGCCATGTTTTTCTATCATGGTCTCCCTAATCTAATGCATTCTTCGACTTAAAGTTTAGACATAAATTGAATATAATTATGATTCACGTAATCATTTTTGTTGTATACAATTTTAATAGAATAACATATTATGGATGCATTTGTTTATAACCTTTTTAGCCTATTTCAACAAATATCGTGAAAAAAACTAGGCATATGTTGAAGTAAATCACATTTTATTAAAACTCAAACAACATTTGTGAATTTTGATACATTTCACATCGGTTTATTTGTTTGAAATTTTAATTAGTTATAAAATATTTTTATGGTGTATAATAATTATATATTTTATGTTGGGTTGGGTTATTACTTAAAAATATCGCCAACCCGACCCAACCCAATTAGAAACAAACCGTAGGGTTTAAATTTTTTTGGGTGGGTTTGGGTTTGACAATTCCCAAACCGTAGTGTATGGGTCGGGTGATTAAAATACTTAAACCCGAACCAACCGACCCATGTACACCCCTAGCTGTTGGCTGTTGGCTGTTGGACACACACAACACACACATGAATGGGATCTTGCAAATTGCAAAAACAAAAGAAAAAAGAAGGGGTTCACTTGGATGCACTTGGGGTCGACATGGTCCGTATGCTGCTCGTGCTCGGCAATACAAAGACAACGAAAGTTGAGTCCAGTTGTCTCTTGCTGGATTATTGGTCCATTTTTAGGGGGGGGAAAAATCCCAAATAGACACATGTAATTCTGAAAATACACATGTTTGATATTCACCGTTTTTGTCAAACGCAGTGAATATAATCACTGTCGAAGACAACAACGGTGATTCAATCACCACTTTAAATAAAAACGGTGATCAATCACGTTTTAATAAAATGCGGGGAACATATAACCGCGTTTGTGTACATCAAGGAATATTGCACAACATCGGACGGCTATGATGAAGGGTTGGGGGACGTGTAGGCATTCATTGCCGTGGACAAACGCCGTGAATGCCCTACTGTCCATGTTAGCGATCCGCGTCGCCTCGCCCCTTCGTCATTGTCGTCGGATGCAGTGAGGCTCGGATTTTGGTTTTTCTCCCAGATTCGACGCCTCACAGCCGCCCACGTCAGCTATCCAAGTCGTTCATTGCGTTCGAAAAATGCTGGGTCTTCCCTGCATTAGACGAAGGCGGTGAAGGCGCTGTGTTTGTTTACAGCAGTCCCCTTCCCCTATAAATACCACCCTTCTCCCTTATTCCAAATCACACCACCACAGTACTCTTCTTTCTCACTCCATTCCTCCACTCTAGTTTCGTTCTAAGTATACTTTGTGGTTGCGGCTAAGTCCGATCATCCACATCAGAAAGATTCCTAGAGTTATATCATAAAGCCCTCCCCTCTAAAAACCCGTCGAGCCTCTATCCAGTTTCCGCCAAAAAATGGACGAAAAGGCTCTTCGGGTACATTCTTGGTAATCATTTTGTGATTTATTTTCTTGGGTAATGTCTATTTTTTATCCAAACCTTTTTCAGATTCTTTTATATTATCAAAACCTATCAAAATACTAAGAATTAGCCAAATGTTAACTTTTAGTTAGCAATTTTGTTAGTAATATTGATTTAGCAAAATGATATTAACTTGGAAGAGACTCATTAAGGTCAATATTCCAAAATTTTACTATTTTAACTAAAAAAAATAGTTACAAAATTATTAATGATAACGTAAAAATGGCTCATATTTTGATGCATTATGAAAGATTTGGATAACTAATAGAATTTTAATAGGTTTTGATAATATAACAGAATCTGAAAAAAATTTGGATAAAAAATAGAATTACCCTATTTTTTTGTAATAAAAACAATCTGATTTCATTCAAATTTTTTTGTAGATGAGTGCCGAGATATACGATCCTCGATTGTATATCCATTATGGACCAAGAGATACGAAGTATTTATCCGAGCAAGAAACATATCGCTCGCGTGCAATTTGGCACAACAATCCGACAAACACTACATACCTTATAATGTTTTAAATATTTTATTATTTTAAAAGGTTTTATTTTGCTTTCCTTTGGCTAACAACTTGGCGTTTTTTGTACTTTTTTGTAGGAATCACTTCTTCTCGTCATTTATAGAGAGGCCACAAACTTGCCCGTTTGGCATGATCGACTCTCGCTCTATCTAGAGAGGACGGGATTGGTTATAGGGAGGCATTTCATGCGGATTGAGATCGACAACGCTCTGCTGACGACAATGGCAGAGCGATGGCGCCCCAAAACCCTTACGTTCCACTTTCTGGAGGGGAAAATGACGATCATCCTCAAAGACGTTGCCATCCTCACCGGACTGCCGATCACTAGAGAGGCCATAATCAGTCTCTCTACCAAACCCGAAGCAGGCTGGGGGCTGCTGATTCTTGACAGTTTGGGCTTCGACATGCCGACCATGACTCCAGTCCAAGGATAGGGGCATCCACCTTTGAATGCGGCACAAGTATCGATCCCGTAGCTCGTTACTTACACCAAGATGAGGTTGATATCGGCCTAATGGAAGATCAAGTGGAGCAGTATGCACGTGTCTACCTCATTGGCATGGTTGGTTCCCCGACAAGGCAAACAGGTGGATTCAAGGCATGTGGTTGCCATTGCTACTCGATGCGCGATCAGGACAAAGAGTTGGGGGTCGGCCGTGTTAGTTGGGGTATATTGGGAGTTGTGTACTTGCTCGAAGGTGGGAGCGAAACAAGCTGGTAGTGCGATATTCATCCTCCAGCTCTGGGCATGGGAGCATCTTTCAATGTTCTCACCTCAAGACCCGCGTCCATTCTAGAGATAAAATAAGGACCTTTGAGATGTGCCAAATGCCCCCTATGATGTCAAGTAAGTTTAATTTAGATTTATTTATTTCTTGATTTGATTTATTTAATTTTTGCTTCATTTAATTTAGATTTCTTCCATGCTTAATTTTATCCCATGCTTAGCTTGATTTAATTTAGCTTTATATAAAATTTATTTCATGCTTAGCTTGATTTGATTTAGATGTATTCCATGCCTAAATTAAATTTATTAAGTAAATTAATTAGTTATTTAAAAAATTCTTACATGCTTAGCCTTCATGCTTTAAAAAATTCTTATATACGTACTTTTACTTATAAGGTGGATCGGAGCAAATACAAACGACCACCAACGTGGGCACTCTTTACTGTTTTAGCGTGCTAAGTTTGATAAGCCTTGGTGGAACCAGGTAATCATGACAATTCAATATTTTAACGAATTATAATTTTGTGCATGTAATTGGTTGCTAATTGCAAATTATGAATGATTGTAGGTTACCTGGGACCCATATCCAGGTGAAGTGGTCGAGCTGCATCATCTTAGACACCCTGAGGATCACGAGATGTGGTTGTGCAAGGTACCCTTGATCTGCTGGCACATCGTGGAGTGGCACCTGTCCGATCGATCCTTTAGGCAATATCGATTGGAGCAACCAATTCCAGCAACCCCACCTCAAGATTTCAAGGGGCTCCATCCCATCGACCTCCGCCACCAAGCAAAGAATTTGCTTCTCAAGCATCAGTTCTACATCAATGTTTGGCAGGATAGAGAGATAGCGAAGTGGGAGAATAGAGTGAATCGGGAGTTTACGCTTAGATGGGTGTCAAAGCAAGGTGCTGTGATGGGTTCGTTGGTAAGCCATCCCCAGTTTCCCTCTTTGTCTTATTCTTTTGTTTTAATTTTGATTAATTTTGTTTTACTACTTAAATTTCTTAGGTTGATGGTTTGGAACATGCCAAGCACATAGTGCACCCACCATGGATGAGCGAAAGACATCTTGGTTGCGAAGGCTTATGAACAACCTCCTGAGCTGTACCCGAGAGCAAAGGAGGGATGTCGTAGCATATCCTTCACTGCCTGCATCGACCCACCCATCATTTCGTGATGGTGAGCTCATTGTGCCCCCGGTTGAGCCCCCACGGAAGAGCAAACGCAAGCCTCAGCCAACCTTTCAAGAGCTTTGTCCGACTCAAGAAACAGAACTCCGTGAACCATTTGAGTACGAGTGGGAAGCTGCACCGAAGGTCGCTGGAGTCTCATCGAGCTACGCCCATTCTCACGAACATGACATGTTCCCCCAAGGATTCCCTCAATTCCAACATCAGCAGCAGACTTCGATGTATCATCCCACCCACCTCCACCATGTATACTCTGGTGGGGGAGGGGGGGGGGGGGTCGGGTTAAGAGGAATCTGCGAACAGTTGTCCAACAAGATTGCAAAGAAGGAGAAGGGACAGAAGGCGAAAGAATGGGCTGATGACGCCGTGTAGGATAAGGAATAGGGTGAGAAGGGGAAGAAAATAAAGGGGAACAAAATAAGGGCAACCAGTGAACTATACATGTTATCTTTGTTTAGTTTAGATTTGTGTCTTTCCATTGAACTATCCATGTTGTCTATATGTAGTTTGGTTTTGTGTTTTCTATGAACTGTCCATGTTGTCTTTATATAGTAGCAATCATAGTAGTATAACAAGCATAGCATATTATAGCATCACATTACATAAAACATTAGTGTTCATTCACAAGAGATAATTAAAGTATCATGAGTACAGTAAAGCATCTAAAGAAACAAGTATTGATGATCATAACATCGACTGAAATAAGCATCTCATTGATGCATAGAAAGAAATATTCAAACATCATAGCATCACATCCCCAAACAGATCGAACTAGAAAAGCATAAGATGAGCATAGACATCACCATTGATAAGATGGCATCTCAAATGAGGAGATGAGCATTGATGACTCGATATTTGCACATGTTTTCCCCTCTACTTCTTGATCGTTTAAGCTTGCATTATCTCTTATTTGGCCTATTTTAGCCAGGTTGTGTTCCTTTGTCACATTTCAGGTCCTAGTTAGTAAAGGGAGGCATAAGTGCAAGTTTCAAGTCAATCGGATATCAATTGGCGATCGGGAGAAGAACCTCGGGCATGACCCGAAGAAGAATGGATTTATACCTCATTTATAGAAAAGTAATCATGCAATATTGTCATGAAAAGAAAGAGGATGAGACTACGAGCATATGGGATCAAACGGCGACTGATTCGGAGTCCGGACGAGGGAGAAACGAAGTATTGAATATTGGGGAACAGGTTCGGCAGTAAAAACACGGGCAGACTACCCTAAAAAACGGCCGTGTTTTATCTGGCCCACGCTAGTGTTTTTACTACCGAGGGCGTGTTTTGAGGGCTGCTGGGGGCAAAACAAGGGCGGGCAAAAGTAAAACACGACCATGTCCTCGACCGTGTTTTGCACAGAATCGGGTTTTTGAGGCAGATTCAAGCCAAAAGAGAGAGGGAGCTGGGTTTTGGTTCTCAAACACCCAAGGGACGAACCCTAGAGAGAGAGAGAGCGACTTGGGAACATTCTTGGAGCTATTTTGGAGGATTTCTTTGTCATTGCAGCTCAAGAATCAAGCTTGGAGATGGAGATTGAAGATCTAGACCAGATTTCTGCAGTCTCTCTCTTCTCTATGGAGTAACCTCCCTTCACTTAGGTTTTAGTTCCATGTGTTAGGATCTTTCTTGTATGAAGTTTTGGATGCTATATTGTTTGATTATAATTGATTGAGGCATGATTTATTGAGTCAATTGAAGCCTGATCATCTTTGTTATAAACGCGCTGCTACGGATCGGAAAATCGCTGGAATCGACAAAGCAAGAATACGAAAGCGAGAATCGAAAACACGACACACGATATACGTGGTTCACTAACACGATGTGTGTTAGCTACGTCCATGGGCGAGAGAGAGCCAATTCACTATAACGAGTACATCAGAGATTTCAGAGGAAGAGGATTCAAGTCAAGGTGGAGATTTATTGGTGTGACTTGAATCGGACTATCAGCCGCTACGACTGGTAGTCGGGGGTCTCGCTGCCCGGTCAGCGAGTGGGGTCCAGGGGCAACGCCCCGGTGGGGGTGCGGAGTACATCAGAGATTTCAGAGGATGAGGATTCAAGTAAAGGTGGAGGTTTGTTGATGTGACTTGAATCGGACTATCAGCCGCTACGACACGGTGTGTGGGCTCAATGTTATTTGGGTTCGGGTTCTGGGCCTGGTCTGTAGCCGTTTCCTTTGCCAGATTGGATTAGGTTTAGACCCACATGGAGAAGTACTATAAATACTTATCATACTCTTCTGTACTCTATAATCTCCTCGATATAGTGAAATTGGCTCTCTCTCGCCCGTGGACGTAGCTAACACACATCGTGTTAGTGAAACACGTAAATCGTGTGTCGTGTTTTCGATTCTCGCTTTTGTATTCTTGCTTTGTCGATTCCAGCGATTTCTCGATCCGTAGCAGCGCGTTTGTAACAAGTGGTATCAGAGTCGCGGCTGTAAATCTGGCTAGGGTTTTCGATTCAGAAGAATGACGTCGGTGAACATGAAGATCGAAAAGTTCACGGGGAAGAACATCTTCGCTATATGGCAGATCAAGATGCAGGTTTTATTAAAACAGCAAGGGCTGTGGGGGCCGCTGTCTGCGAAACAGAAGAAGGCAGCGGTCGATGACGATGAGTGGAATACCCTGGAGGAGAAGGCCCACTCGACCATCATGCTATCGTTGTCTGATGACGTCATCATTGAAGTCCCTGCTGAGAAGACTGCCGCGGGCTTGTGGTTAAAGTTGGAGAGTCTGTATATGACGAAGTCCTTAACCAACAAGCTGCATCTCAAGCAACGGTTGTTCATCTTGAGGATGCAAGAAGGTACGCCTTTGAGGGAACATCTCGAACAACTTAACTCTATTTTGCTGGATCTTCGTAATATAGATGTTCAAGTTGATGACGAGGATGCTGCCCTAATCCTACTAGTTTCTTTGCCGAGTTCATATGAGAATTTCGTTGATTCTTTTATTGCTGGTAAAGAAAGCGTGTCGTTGGAGGATGTTAGGTCTGCTCTTCATATGAGAGAGATCAGGCATAAGGCGTCTGGATCTGGTACCGGTGGTGAGGCATCGGGTTTGGCTGTTACAGGTGGAAAAGGAAATAAGAAATCGGTAAAGGGAATTCGAACAAGAATTCCAAGGGTTCTGGTCCACAGCCAGGTGATGCTTGTCACAACTGTAAGGAAGTGGGGCATTGGAAGTACAACTGTCCCAAGAGAAGAGGGAAACAGAAGAAACAAGGTTTAGTTGCCGTGGCAGAAGTGAACAACAGTTCTGAAGACGATCTCGACTTGGCTGTAGATGAGAAGGCACATCGTGGGGATGTGTGGTTTCTGAATATTGCAGCCTCATATCATATGTCTCCGAACATGGATTGCTTCACAACCTACGAGCAGATAGATGGTGGTAACGTGGTCATGGCAAATGGAGCTGTCTGCAAGGTTGTTGGAATTGGGTCCATAAAGGTTCGGACACATGATGGTTCGTTCTGTACCGTGAATGATGTCAGGCATGTTCCACGAATGACAAAGAACCTGATCTCCTTGAGTCTACTCGACAGCAAGGGTTTCAGCTTCAAAGGAAAAGGTGGAGTTGTGTATGTCTGCAAAGGTTAAAGGAAGGTGCTGAAGGGCGTGAAGCATGGGACCTTGTATGCATTACAAGGGTCTGTGTTGTCTGGTTCTGCTGCAGTTGCATCGTCTCAGGTTCATCAGGAAGATATGACCACTCTCTGGCACATGAGACTGGGCATATGAGTGAACAAGGGATGTAAGTTCTATCTTAGAAGGATCTTCTTTGCGGGCACAAGGTGCAGAATTTGGAATTCTGCGAGCATTGTGTGTTTGGGAAGCTACATCGCAGCAAGTTTCCCAAGAAGGGTATCCACCGGACAAAGGGGATACTGGATTACCTCCACTCCGACTGTTGGGGTCCTTCACGAGTTGAATCCATTTGAGGCAGCATGTATTTTCTATCTATTATTGATGATTATTCGAGATTTACTTGGATTTTCATGACGAAGCAGAAAAGTGAGGCTTTCATGAAGTTCATGCAGTGGAAGACATTGGTGGAGAATCAGACCGGGAAGAAGATCAAGAAGCTGCGAACGGACAATGGTCTGGAGTTCTGTAATTCCGAGTTCAACGAATTCTGCAAGGATGAAGGGATTGCCCGTCATCGGACCGTGAGAGATACACCCCAGCAGAATGGCGTTGCAGAAAGGATGAACCAGACATTGTTGGAGAGAGC